AAGCACACCTAGGTAATAGAGCAATGAGCATGCAGTCTTAAGGCAGCTAGCATCATGCCCTATCATTGGAGCACTGAAGACTTCAGAAAAGGAAATATTGGGGTTGAATTCTGCCTGCATAGGTTCTCCTGAATAGAAAGTGATGAGGTCTTTATTATTATATTTGATCAGATTATGTCTAGCAATCATTCCAAAGAAATGAGTTGCATCAGACAAACTACTTATAAGTTTGAAGAGATATTCCTGATCATTATTAGTACAATGGGGATTTACTGTGATTGGTGAGTTGATTATTGATCTTTTTTTTTCTTGAAAAATATTAACTATAACAGTGATTATATTTTGGTACACAGGATGAATCATTCGTATCTATTCTTTATGTGCTTATGGAAGATTTTTTCATCTCACCCTTGCATTTCAGGCACCCCTGCCATCATCAACAACTGATATTTGTAACATTAAACTGGCCTACTGTGCAATGCTGGACTTTGTTGAAAAGCTACATGAAACAGAAAGAAATCTTTGCAGCCTCAACAGCAAATGCATTGAGATAGCATGTGCTGAAACAAAACGAAAAGAGGCTCCTGTACAATGGTCAGCACCACCAGTGATAGGAACCCCACTGAACTCATCAAAGAGAGTGACATCCAAGCAGACTAAGATATAAATGGTGCAGTTGCATTTATAGTGAGCTTCTTGAATTGGTACATAATACAACTATGATGCTTTTTTTGCTTAGTGCTTGCTTGCAAAAAAGCCTGTTAATTATTAATCCTGGAAATTAGCCACAAGTATGTATAAACATATTAGCAAGTCATTAAAAAACATCTACATTAACATTGGTGTATGAGCCAGCTATAAATCAAGCAAAGCCTCTCCAAAATGTCATTAGCTAAATTAGTTTATTTCCAACTACATCAGCATCTTTTAGCTTACATGATCAAATGTTCACTTTGTCTGGTTTTGTTGCAGCATGCCCCATATTTCTAAAATTAGCTATTGAACTTAGTTCATGTTGGAACATTGGAGTAATACCAGTTATAAATAACTTTTGTATCACCCTATTGAATTCTCTTCCACATCCCTGCTTGAGCACAGAGAAGAGGTTTGCATCAAAAAAATCTTCAAGAGAGGTAAAGTGTTCACATGAAACAGGGTTCCATAGTAATAGTGTAATTCCACTGTTCTGCAGATAATGATTTCCAGAACAATCATACTCATCTACTGCAATGAAGAGTGTTTTTTTTCAGTCATGGACTAGATTCTTCATAAAAAAAAGTGTTAGATGTAGATGACATATGTACATGCAATAAAAAAATTGGGATATCTAGAAACCTACAAAGATGTTTAAAAAGGACTCAGATGCAGTCTCATCAATTAATTCATTGATATCTGGGTATCCTAACTCTTCTGCATATTTTTTGATAAAGAATTTCAGCAAGATGTTAATCATTCAGTTGAAACTATTCCTCATAATGTTCATGTTTTCTGTTTCAATACTTGATAGGTCAAGAAGTAGAACAAGATGTTGGTTGGCCCAGTGTGTGGGATTTTCCCCAATGTCAAGGCCTCAAATAGTGACTGGAAGATGTTCTTAGTGTGAACATCATAGCAAGTGTGCTGACCAAGGTTGATTTTCCAAATTGTCGAGGATGAAGAAACAAAATTTTATAATCTGGGTTAGTGCTGCTGACTGTTGTCTTATACACCGTGATTAAGTAACGCGCTGTAAAAAAGTTTGGGTGGAAAGGTTTTGTTTTCTTTTTGTGTCGGAGGTGTGGGGAAAAAAAAGCTTCAGTTTGTTTTCGTGTCGGAGGAGTGAAAAAAAAAGCTTGTGCGGAAAAGCTTTGTTTTCGTGTCAGGGAGTGGGAAAAAAGTTGATGGCGTTCCAGATAAAATACTTGCTTATTGGCTCCCTCGTAACGTCTCTGTCTTAAAAATATCATATTGCCGATATCATACGCAATTGTAGAAAATTCTCGAAAAAGAACGCTGTTTTACTGGTATTGTGTAAAGATTTCTTTCACTAAAATGTTGCCAAATATTAAAAAAAAAGCCGGTTCTTGCTTTGCCATAATACTAGATGGGGTAGAAAACTGTGCGTATGAAAGTCATCTATTTGTCTGTTTTGCTCTGAATCGCTTATTTATAATTAGGTGAAGCGAATGAGTGAGTGTGTTCGTTTTGTTGCAGCACACTATATAACACTAATTGTCGCCGTTGTTTTGATTACGAAAACCTGCTCTTTATTTTCTATTAAATAGCATAATGTTTTTTAGAAGTCACTTTTTAACAAACTATTAACAAATGACAAGCTCCAATTTTAAAAACCAGCGAGAAACTATATTACACTTGGAACATAAGAATCCGTTCAGCCAAAGACATACAAAGATTCCAATGCGGACTACTTGAAAAAGTTGGTAGTATATGCCACAAAAAAGGAGCTGTTATTTATCAACCAAAAAAACCACTCCCCAATGTTGCGCGGTATATATCGGTCAGAATATACGCCGTAATTTCTTTGCACTCCATGAAGACTAAATTGGCAAGAAAAGGCGTGCAGCTCTCCCACTACAATTGCAACGCATTTAACAGCTCTTGGGTACAATAGAAATACAGTCGAGAGATGGTATAAAGGTGAGCGGCCCGTACGACGAATTCCAAAAGATCGTACTAAAATTTTGCATGAATGCAGAGCTCTGTATAGGCATTCTAAAAAGGCATATTTCAGAGATTAGGAATTAGGAACCTAATGGGTAGGCATTGGCCAACAGTCCGGATTTAAATCTAATAAAAAAATTTTGATAAATATTGTTAAAAGAAACGTCGAAAAGAGAATACACACAAGATTTAAGTCGTTAATCAATTTAGTACAATCGATGAAGCGCAGATGTGAGTTAGTTATTGAAAGCAATGGAGAAATACATCATATTAAAATTTTCAGCTATCAAATGAAGTATTAATTATGTTGATTGCTATGGTCGCTGTTGCAAATACAGTATGTAATTTCTTTACACAATGCTACCGTAAAAGTTATCCCATTATTCACGCCATACACACACACACACGCACACACGCATGCACACACAGACACACGCAAACAAATAGTCCGTCGAAACACGTTATAATCATTTTGACAAATTCGTATATATTTTATGATTCAGCATACAGAGCAAGCATATGATTTCTATCTTCTAACTGGATTAGTTTTAAACTTGCCAATGTAGCCAATTAAATCTTATTACTTAATCAGAATAAGTAGTTGAAGAACATCTTATTTGTTGTTTTAGTGCTATGAAATACCGCATGTTCAATAGTGGGCGCTTTCAATTGTGTAAGACAATACAGGTAATAAGTGGGCATTCAAATTTATCACATGTGCTACATCATAAATAAGCGAGGAAGGCTTTATTGTATTCAGCATTTCTACTGGTCGTTTTTATCAGCCTTTTTGTGTTTTCATAAAAATTTACTGGGTCTTGGCTTACTAACATGTTCCAATCGAGTTGGTTATCGTAATAATAATAATAATGTCAGAACGACCCAGTCGTTGTACAGCAACCTGGATGAGAATGTCGTCATTGAGATCGAGCGGTTTGCACAAATCGTTTTCGTGAGGATATCAAAAGACATACAATCGCTCATTAGAGCTAATACATATCTGGTCTATTTAATCTATCCGTAAACTGCTTTATTGCCCTCATCGGGGTCGCTCTAATATCCTAAAATGTTGCACAGAAAAGGGTTTTTTAGCATGGTAAATGAAGATTTGCGGATCATTCTTTTTCAGTAACCTTTTAAATATAACCCGTTATGTACAGCTTTGTGCGACTAAAGAGTGTGAACTGTAAAATTTTCATGTAGATTTCCTTATTGGATTTCTAATATAATGTTTCACCTAATACTAAAGAAAGTTTATAACAAATGTTGATACAATTCTATTGTTTCACATTATTAACATCCTAGTCGTTCTACATGTTCCATACTTTGTTGCAATAAATGCTTTCATTTTCCCCTCGAAGAATCGCATAATTTACACAGGAACGAGTACCGTCTTACCTATTTATACAACCCAAGAGACGTTTTAAGCACCAGGGACGCACTTATATTACATCGAATGGATTAGTCTATACTCCTGCTGCATAGGAGAAGAATCTGAAACCACGGGGATTTACAACTGACTATTATGGATAATTAGTCCAACGCAAGTCACGTTCTCCCAATTTAACTCGTAAACTCAGGACTGGTACCAAGTAAACAAATCCACTGAAACGTGTGGTGCTCGGGGTCACATCAATATCCCATCATTAATTTATTTGTAATCGAACCAATTGTCGGCAATCCAATAAAAACCCCGATAGCAATAGATAACGATTATCGAGTGAATGTCCATCTGACGCTCGCCATTAAACTCAATATTGAACTCTTCGCTTATTATTGTTATGCGCTACTTTATATCTACATCTTATTTTGCTTATCTTTCTTAGGTCGCTTTTTTTCATTCTATTTTTAACATTGCAAATCGGCCCTAAGATGTCAACGGGCATAACAATGGGAGGCCCATAATCCGTAATTCTCTGGAGCGAAGTACAACGTCACACGACATCACAAACGTCCTACATATTATCAACACAATACATAGTACCCAATTGCTATAACTATGCTGTCAATTAGCTCAAGCACAACTGCCGTCTCCCCCTCCTCAGACTGACTTGTAATTATAGAGGGGTTTCACACATATCCTCTTTAAAAATTGGATCTTATAAACTGTTCACGCATCCATTCTCTTCCAATTGACGGCACGAATTAAAATGTATACACCTATCCGCATACTCACTGCTATTATAGCCTTGATGGCTTTGGCTATGCTGGTTCGTGCCGTACCGCAAGGAACAGGGATTGTAAGCGGTAATTATCATTTTTGCATTCATTGTATTATCAGAGAAGATAAAGGGGGTAGGAGAAATCCAAAGAAGGAAGAAAGATAACAGAGTTTGGTATAGACCCGACACAAGTGTAATACTTGGAGCGAACTCTGAGGCAGACACTTTATGAATGTCTATCCTAAATTGTCTGCTTAGTACATTTAGTGAATAGCCCCCTATATGCAGCCATTATATATACAGTTTCCTCTATGTCAGACATATGTTATGTGTATAATGACACATTCCCGAATGATGCCTTATCCATATCGCCACTTATCTACCAGTTTCTAACGATCATACTTTATTCCCTTTAGGTCTGAATACACTACCTTTAACTCAACCAGCAATTCAATCTCCTTCAGACACTGCCGCTCCAGGCAACACCCAACAACCACAAAACCCTACTCAACCAACACCCGCACCATCACCTCCAACTCAGTCTTCTCCGCCACCCCCTTCTCCACCACCACCACCTCCTGCTCAATCCACTCCTGTACCTCCTGCTCAACCGAGTCCGCCTCCAGCTCAACCAGCAGCATCTCAACCATCCACTCAACCAGCAGCTCAACCATCAGCTCAACCATCCGGTCAACCATCAGCTCAGTCTCAAAATGCACCACAACAGACCGCATCCCCAACGTCAACATTGACGCTAACCCTTGGCGATGTAGTGACAGTGACATCAACCTCCACATCCTTCCCTCCCGAACCAACTGAAACGTGTATTGCCTCGGGGGTGGGAGGGGCTGTTACTTGCAATGATCCCAATTCATATTGTGACAGATTAAGTAATACGTGTAGTCCTAAAAACGCAAACGGACTGTCATGCACCGCCGGTGACGAATGTCTTTCTGGATTTTGCAATAATAATGTATGCGCTGAATCATCCTCTTCCAAGCCAACAGACGAAAACAGCAATTCAAGTCTTGGAACTAAAATAGGCGTTGTGGTTGGTGTCATATTCGGTACTGCTGCGTTTGTTGGGATCTTTGTATGTTGTATACGCTTGGTGTACAACAGACGTCAACGTAAACTTTACAGTTATGAAACGGAATCGGATGCATACAGTGATGGTGTATCTATCACGGAAAATAGACGACCATCGTATCCATTTGCTGGTGGTGCAGCTGCATTCTCGAGCGCAAATCCCCCGTTTGCAGCTAGAAATGTTGCTCGTTCTGCGGTTACAGATACTTCATCCGATTATAATCCTCGCCCAACATATAATGCTGCCGTTCCAGCTCCTATCCCGCCCTCTATGCAGTACAGAGGACAAGGTGGCTCTGATATTCGTTCTCGAGACGTGAACACGAGTCGTACAGTTCAACCAGGACCACTATATCCTGGTCCATCTCAAATCACAGCCGCAAATTATCAGTACGCGAACAACATGTCTTCATTAGGTGCTCCTATTCCTTCTCAGCCACCTGTAGCTCAACGCAGCTACAATCAGCCGCCTCCAACTCAGCCACCTGCCATGAGCTTTATTCCAAAGCCTGATAGAGTATATTCGCCTCGGCCCGCTGCTGCTCTCCCACCAGCAGATTCCATTTCTGCAAATGAAGTTGTTGGCTCTGTTTCGAATAACGCCACTCGATCACCAATAGCAGCAATCGGGGCAGGTGTAGCTGGCAATAATCTACAAGCCCCGGATGCTCGTCAATCGAATGCGAGTTCAGACAAAGGAGTGCAAATTGTATATCGAGTGGCTAACAACAAGCAAGCCGAAGACGCACATAATCGATTATTTGAAGCGGCGAGAGATATGAATGAGAGACAGGCTGGAAACGCGAACAATGAACAGCGTGATAACGCTAGCGCAGCATTGGATCAGACATACCTTGGTATTGGTGACCTTGTTCCGCATGGAGATTTCGAGGAGAAGACGGGAAGAAAAGGTGGTCGATACACGATGGCATCCATGTACACTAATACGACATCCATATATTCGACATATTCACGGGATTCTTCCATGACTAATTTCGGTCTTAGACCACCAGGCAACGCAAGTGCATCATCATCATCAGTAGCAGCAGCAGATGTCCCAGACTCGCCCACTCTGTCATATACTGGGTTCTACGAAGCAAATATTGCGCAAGCAGATTCGTCAAATCAAATCAACGTTCCTGTAACCACCGATGCAACGAACCGAACAACAGAAGGTTACCAGTTCGGTCAGGATGGAGCGCAAACGTACTCTGGGTCGTTTGAGGCCGACTTGGCAGCGATACAACAATTTACCAAGAAGCATGATATATGATGCATAGAACCGTTTATTCGATGTCATGATGAGCTGTCGATGAGTGGATGTCATAATACTTCTGACTGTAAACCTGCATTGAAGGCAGTGGACTATTATTCCTTGATGGAATTTCTTAAACTTGATGGTATTCTTGTTTAAATCGTCTTCCTCTTGTCATCCTACTTTAAATTTCATCGATTGCAAGCAATTTCTTCAGAAAAATCTGTACAATGCTGGCATTTAATATCAATGGTTTCGAAAAGCTGGCTTCATAAAACTCGTGTTTTATATCATTACTATTTTCTTATTTGAAATCATTGTATTTTTTAATTTTACACTATCTTGTAATTATATTTAAGTAGTAGATGGAATAGGAGAGGAATTTTAGAGATCAAACTGTTTTGATAGAATTAAATTGTAAACATAGCGGGCATAATCTAATAGAATAGTCATATCATTATTTGCATAATATGTCGTCCCATTTTGGTAAAGACGCTTATTTTCATGTCGACAAATAAAATCCAAGAAATTGTGGCCATACGGCAAACACATGTAAATCGTGGTATATTCTTTATTACATTATATATGTGCTGTATATATGCAGACGTTTGCCAATTGGCGAAGTTTCAGAGAGACGTATATAATAAATTGGGTTTGAGAGATAACTTTGATTTTCTACTTAACTAACATAAAGCAAACATTACAAATCGCATTCTATGCCAATTATTATCATATCCAGATCAAACCATAACACTAACAAATGATAAAAAAAGAAAAAGTATGCCAAACAAACCGTTTTTTTTTTCAAGTACGTTCCACCCGCCTGTAAACTGTAATGACCGACTTATCAAGCGAAACACGAGAGTACACTCTCTTGGAGAGATTGTTGGGTGCTGGGAATGGAGCTTCTTTACCACGCATTGGACCGAATGTATAAAAAAGTTTCGGTCTGTATTCTGGCTTCTCATCGAGGACACTGTAAAAGAAAGAAAAAAAAGTCGTGAACGAATTATCAAGTTATTGTTATCATACTCGTATTATTTTAAGCAGCGACTTTTCTTCGTTGCTTACGATGAATTACGAAACTTCTCGATCAATGCTTGGCTTCCTTGAATCGATGCATACGACAAGTTGCAAATCTTCTCAGAGTTGAATCGACTCCTATAAATCGGAAACAATAAACAAACCAAAACGTGATCGATACTAGAGTTAATTTCACTTATTTGTATACTGACCATTTGTTACCAATTCTCGCTTTGGCAAATGATATAATCATCCTGTATAAATGGGAAGGGAAGAGAAAGAAACCCATATTTTAATTGAGTTTCGAATTTTGATGATGGTGGGCAAAGACATTGATTCACATACTTTGGTTCAATAAAATTCACGAATGCATATCCAACGTTGCATTTGTTGATAAAATCAAAGCGAAGATAGACAAAGTCATAACAGCCAAAATGCGTCTCATCAAGCCATTCTAAAAACATTTCCTACGATAAAATATAACGTAAAAGGTTAATATCAATATTATAACCTTGAGTTTCAACTGTCTCGTAATTGCTCATTCTCACCTGGGTGTATTTATTGGGAATGTTTCGTATCATTAAAGTTGTGCGCGTGTCTGTGCCTGTAGATTCAAAATTAGAAGAGAAATGTTTATTCCCAATGTGGAGATATTTTCATGTGGGAAACAACTATAACCAGTATTAGACCAGTATATATCGTACCATCCTCTATAGCGCTTAGATCAATAGCATTCTTGACCGGAATTGCTCTATTTCCAGATAAGCGTACTGTTGTATTTGGTGGCTTTTTCTGCTGACTTGCGTCGGTTGCTCCCGGGTTTTTTACGGTTTCCACTGCTGACCATGAGTCAACACTTGCGTCGTAATAATTTACCTTAACGTCATACTACAATAATAACAACAGCAACAGCAAGTTACAAATTTGTATTATTTTGATATTCGTAATTATTTTTATAAACAATAAGCAAAAACGCTTACATATTGCCGGTCAAAGAAATTTTTAGCCCTCGCCGCAGAACGTATGTCAACGTATTCGAATATAATTTTGTTGTCTCCAGAACCTAGCACTCGCCACGGCCTACATGGTCCAAATCGACGTAATTTATCCTAAAATTAGCATAACATACAATAAAATTATGTTGGAAATAAAAAAAGGTTTAATACCAAGTGCCTGTTTCGTTCATGATTAAGAAAAATATACAAAGTAATGATTATCCAACTAACCTCAAGCCATTTTAATGTTCGTGGTCTGCTAGTATACGTCACTGCAACCGTACCCGACGCAGCAACGTTTTGTTCCGTCTATTAAATAAATTATGTATTGTCAAACAGCCTAGACAATTCAACCATTGTAATACGTTTAAAATACTTGCCAAGAATAGTGGTGATGAGCAGTAATAAACAAGTGGATATCTGCCGCCTATTAATTTAGCTTGCAACGATCGATGGGCTCGTATAGCATGGAGAATATTATAGTAAGCAACGTAAGCCACACCCTCATCATGCAGTCTGTCGGCGAGAATTAGGCGTATGTCACCGAATATCTTGACAATATGAAAAGGTTAATGAAATGATCGGCACCGAAAATTGTGACAAGCAAAGAAAATGCTACTGCAATAAACCCGAGGTAACAGCGGGCAGCGGCAAAATGCTGTTAATAGTTAGCAATAACAAAACTGCTAGAACAGCAAATATTATAATAATTTTATAATCGAGTAATTATGTTATGACTATTAAAACTTTGTTAACACTAGACGAACAACTTTATTTGTTTATTATACTTACCGATAACACACCCTCTAATTCTTCTTTATTGATGTCCTTGGGCAGATTTCCAACTGCCAACCATCGCGAAGGAGCCATCGACCAAGTCGAGATATGAGGAGCGAGAAGAGGAGTGCATTCTCCTTCTCCATTCCACACATATCTCGGGATAGAACTTTCGCTTAGAAACGCAACTTGAGCGTCCCTTGCCGCCCCAAGCGCTTTTTCGATAATCGACGGGTTGCCGGGGGCAAGATCTGTCACCGTCGTTTTGTTATCGGTTTGCAAATACTGCGGATGTTTGTTTGTGGTGTCGGGCAAATTGATATCGGAACGAGGTTTAGCGACTATTTGCTTATTGAGGGTGATCTGTGTGAAGATAAATTATAGGACAAAAGAGGTTTTAGTTAATACGTGGGGCAGTGTTTAAGAATGATAACGAGCGAAAGATTATACAATGATTAAGTAAAAAAGCGCTGATAAAAATTTTCGAAAATCAACATGATATCATTACCTGCTTATCCGCAACTTTACTGCGAGCCAATGCTATGTGTTGCGAAAGACACTGCGCTGCAACGGTTGCAATTCTGGGTGAAATAGTCTTGACAGAATGTTGAGGTGCCATCTATCAATATCGTTTCGATCACGTGCCTAGATAGCGGTTTAATAATAGAGTGATAATGTCGTGATTCATAGTGGTAATGATTAGTAAGCGGTAAACCAGCAATCATATAATAAGTTTGTTTTTTGTCTATTGATTATGGCGTCTTTGATCCGTTGCATGCAGTATCATTAAGGGAGGGAAATAGCATATACACAAATCATAGCTATAGAACGATCAATACTATTATCGACGCGTTGTTAGTGTGGTTGACAAGATGTTAGACTGCCAGCTGTCCCACAACCGGTATTGCGCGTAATAAGAATAATAGTTACTGTGATAGTAGTATGTAGATGCTGAACAATACAACTACGTTACGTTTGCTCTGCTATTTTGATAGAAACTGTTTATGATATTATGTATATTATGGATCTCAATAAAGACTTTCTGCAAGGGCAATTGCGTAATGTACGTTGAGCTATTACGGAATAGTTCATCCTTCTACTGTCTATACATCGATGGGTGTATGCACGTCCAATCTGTTGAATAAAGCCCTACCTCTGTTTAGTTTAATACTGATCCGGTTGTAATATATGGTATGCTTGGTGTTTCGACTTTATTGGTTTGTTATTTAAGACAATATTTGAATCGCGTTTATCCTGAAGAAATTGCTGTACGTTCTTGGATGTAATTGAGGAGTAGCAGTTGAAGTTAGATACCGTATGCTGGTAACGTCTTGAAATAAATGTTCTGATAGTTCTGTGATGATGATATAGCTGTGATGAATTGTCTGCCAGAGAAATAAGCGCATTAAATGTCATTCAATATAACTATTCATGCCTTTGTTGTGCAACTCGTAATGCATTTTTGAGTCTATCATGAAAGACATGGGTAAGCGTCGGATGGCGAAATATAATAAACAACCGATACACCATTCTAAAAATTTTTTTTTTTTTGACTTGAACAAATTTCTCAATTATATCCGTCACTCTCATAGGCATTGCCGCTAGGAGCTAGTATACGATTTCAATACATACGACCCGTAACGCAACGGCAAATTTCATCCAAGTATTAACGCAGACATCAGATTAAGAGCGGTCCAAGTTTCGCTAAACTTGACAATCAGCCGTTCGGTGGCTAAATACTGGTGACACTATTTCGTCATCCGCAACATAAGGCATCTATCCAATAAATATTAATTCAGTTTTCACATGAACAATAACAGTGAATGACCAACACATAGGCACGTAGAATTTATAACATATAAAGTCTCAATTATTATGTTATTTTCTTTATTCAAAAAGAAATTTTTTGTACAACATTTTGAAAATTCCACTTGCTTGACTATAAAAGCTGCTGAGATAACAAATTGCACAGAAGCCTAATATTGCAACGTTTAGCAGCTCTCAATACGCAGGCACTGACAGTGAGTCGAAACCGTTTTAAATTTTCGTTAATATCTCGGGAAGACAATATACAAAAAGCAGAAGATCGGAACAGTATACTGCCGGGATTGTTATTCCTGCTTGTATAATCTTGGTGGGCTTTGTATTCCAAAATTGTCCAGTAATGCACGTGACTTGTCATACAAACTATATGTTTTTCATTGTTTTACGTATTGCAATATTTCTACTACAATTCGAAGATTGACATTAGAACGTAGTATATGAGTATACGGACAGTTCGAATGCCGTATACAAATACCAAGCTGTTCTTTACATAACAGTGACTGCCATAGTGTTAATAAGTTCCGCAACTAGAGCTGGTTCTGTGACAACATACTTGTAGATAAATCTATCACACTAATTCTTCAATCATGATAGCACATTGACAAAGTAAAGACTTTTAGTGCATCGAGCAATTGAACCTGCTGTATCCAGAGACAAAACTACCAGTAAGAACTGAAGAATAACTAACCGAATTAAGAAAAGAAAAGAGGAAGACAAAAGTGAAAAAAAGAAGATCTTATCAAGTATGATAGCTTGATAACCGGAAGAAGCGAAACTCAGAAAGTACACCAATGACGTTTGTGCAGGAACTGTTTCCGTATTGGCATGGTTTCTCTACAAACTGAAGGACATATTAGACGTACGAATAAACGGATCAAAAATCATTATTTTGTTGCAACATAAACTTGACTACCTGATTGTGAAATGGCTTGTTATTCAGATTGAACCTTCGAGTCGAAGATTGATTTGCATAAATGAATATGAAATTCTTGCTAATGCCAATGTCTATTTTTTATTTTAGAAAAGTCGTTAATTTAACAATTGATTCTATGACGCCCGCAGCCGTAATTTTGTGAATTGCTGCATTCTTCACCACGCACCAAAAGCAATCATTCACCATCATCCAATTTATACTTAATTTGCCATGTAGAGGCTATATCGTTAGTTGGACGGCATCGGATTGTTGGCATTCACTTCGGTGGACATTAACCCCTTAATGTTGAATTTATTGATTAAATTTGCTTTCAGTACTTTCCACCGAACATTTTTTCGGTTGATATAAAGACAAGAATATTTCTATAAAGTACGTAGATTTTATACAGTAATTGGCTAAAATACATCGTCTTACCAAAACTTACGGATTATCGGGTAATAATAACTCTCGATATCTGATATGTTATGGTTGACTTTGTATCGTAATGATTATCACAAAGTTACTTTTTCAACAAACAGGCGAAATTCATGGAAAGTCGATGATCGCGCCGATATTGATGGATAGCACAATTTACGACGTTATTAACCGATAATGATAAAATAGCCTAACTGTTCGTGTTATTATTATTGTGTTTATAACTGTTAATTGTAAGTCAATGTAGTAATCAGTGATCAATTTTTTTATTCAAATAAATTCGACGTGGTATTTATCCCGACTTGTTATACAGATAATAATAATGTCGTTAATATAAGCGATGAGAATCCGTTTGCTGATGTATAAACTTGGCGTAGCGTGTAAGCAAAAGGTGAAGCTTGTTTCCAACTTGTATGATTTTTGGTCTAAAATGTAAAGGATTTAAATTGAAATCGAGAATCACCAATCTTAACGGTTACAGTAATAGTCGAAAAGCACGTATATATACAACTCTCATCATTGAATTTAATAATATGACCCTAGATTCTGTATTATATTAGTGCACTTAGGGAGCGAAATGCTTGGTATAGCGGTAAGAGGGATTTGGTAATGGGATCTGATCTTGTATAACTCATCCAATATCCGTTTTTCAAGTTAGTTCTGCTAAGGCTAAGAGACTATGTGAAAACTCATCGTCTGTTCCCAATATATAGACTCTTAGAAAAAGCTTTGTGTGATCGGTATGTGTTCACTCGAAAGCTTGTTGAAATCTTGTACAGCAAGACTCTTTTTAAGAATTCCGAGACCCCAAGTTTTACTTTCGCACAGCTGTCCTCACCATATTCCTCATTGATAATATATCGAGTAATAGGTTCCTTATTCTGTGCAATTAACGGTATGTGTGTCTATGTCTAATATTAACATCTATCTATATTTAGGATACCATAGACAAAAGAGCAATGTTGTACTAAGTTTTATCTGCATTAATGAAGTCTGATAATGCGCTTTCGTGTATTCAAAGCTTAATATGTAATGTGATTATTGATATGCAAGAAAACTTGTATTAATGAAGGTATAATAAATTTATAACAGAATCACCCAACTCATTGTTGTTTACATTCTGGTGGGTTTGTTCCTAAAGAGATAAAATTTTCAGTAATCAGGATACCATTCAAATACGAATTGATGCAAACAGCATTTTCAAAACTTACCGCCCTTCCCGTTTTGCTTACTGGTCTACAATTCAAAAAAGAAAAAGAAAAAAAGTGAACATGTTAGTTGATTATTCTGGATAATGACTATGGTTTCTTGCGTCTCATTTTTACAGGTTGAACAATGACCAAGTAGTCTTTTCGAAAACTTATCTACTTGGTTAATCAGAAAAGATCTTTTCAAATCCCCTTTATAAGACCCCCCCTCCCAAAAAAAAAAAAGAGAAATAACGATGACGAAAGAACAGGAAGTTCTGTCTAAGTGCGTCCAACCTTTATAAGAGATAAACCCAAACAAAAACCCAAATTCCTGTTGGACACCTACTGAATCGTTCTTGAAGTTCGACAATACAAAAATCACAAAGTTTCTTAATACTTAGTAGTCTCAACGCACAAGATGATTAGCAACTCCTGATTCTTCGTCGTCGTCGTCATCATCAGAGTCGTCATCGTCATCAGAGTCGTCGTCATCGTCATCGTCATAATCTTCACCATCTCCGCCATGAAAATCGTCATCAAACTCGTCTTCTATCACCTCTTCATATTGTAAAGCTTTACCGGTATACCAATCGATGGCGCGAGGGATGAGCTTCTCCTTGATATCTTCTCCCATTTGGTAATCCGCTTCAAGACGCTCGTCAAGATCTTCATCTTCTTCAGCAGCGTCATCAGTATCAGGCACAATCGGAGGACTGAAAAATTGGAAAAATGTTTCTGCAGGGACTGTTGTTTTTACAATGCGTGTTTCTTTCGTTTCTATTATAAAGTGATTATAATGAAGAACAGCAATGTCAACAAAACGCAAGAAATACTGGGAGGGAAAATCGCTCGAATTGCAAGATATGTCACTCGTAAGAATAAAGAAGTAGTAATTAATAACACAGACCTTTATGTTTTTGTTTCTTTGTCTCAGTCACCAAATTAAGCGCTTTGCCCTCTTTCCAATTAATCGATGTCCCCTCTGCATGATCGTAGACAAAGTCTCCACCATATCCGGGCTCGTCTTGGTAATAATATGTCTTCGTCAGAATTCTATTTGTAAAGAATGGATTCTCCTCGAATTCAAAGTCTAACCGAAACCCGGGTTTCTCCAAATATGCCATGCGAATGTCGATAAGATGTTTTAGGCACGCTTCATCACGGTCTGTAATAGTCTCTGAGATTGTATATAGATTCTTCAGGGCCGTAAGCCAGAACTCTGGAATTCCCTTTACTGGTCCGTCGACAACTTCTGAAATTTTTACGTCGTCTATTGCTGGTTGTTCTAGTCCGTCGATTTTCTTACCAGCTTCGACTTCTTCTTCAGACGGTTCCAGTTCTCCTTGTACCATTTTTGAACGTTTATCGTAAAGTGGTTTGTACTGCTCGAGATATTTTTTTTCGAGAGCAAGTATTTCTTCTTGGAATCTGGCTTCTAGTTTTGCATGTTGCGTTTGTATAAATTTGAGGCCATTGATACGACGTTTTACTTCCTCTGGAAGGGTTTCGATATATCCAGAGGGCTTGCCAACAAGCGAACCAAGCTTTCCTTGTAGTAAAGAGACGAGTTGGGGATTTGGGGTGGGAAAACCATCAGCCATTGTTTGACAGTTTATGTTCTCTATATTGTACAGAATAATTGATATCGGGTAGAAACTTTTTTCTTTTAAATAGCTCTAAAACAATAGTGTCCTTTGTTGGCGAGCCTCAAAAAAAAGCAAAGTGGGTACTCTTCTTAATTTGTCGAGATATTTTTTTTTGCCAGGCTGGGGAAGGTTGATCGCCAAACATAATGACTTGTGTTGGCCAATCATCTTTGTAAATAATTGTCGGCCGAAGTAATCCTAATAATAGAATGGTATACTGACCCAAATACGCAATCCGACCCAAGTAGGCGCATTATCTAAATATCACACAATAAGCAAGCATTATTTACGTGATGTTATCGATACTTATTTCGGTTGCGATTTGGGGCAGAACAGAAAATAATATAATCGTTGTTATTGTCAATATAATAATTTAAAACATATTTATTACATTAATATTGAATGTGGTTACAAGCCATGCCGTTGACGCAAGTAAAAGGAATATTACAAACAACGTAATCTGTGGATCCTGACTATATCCATATTGTTGTAAGTCTTTCTGAGAAAGATTTGTCTGACACCATTGTTCAATCTACAAGCAAGTCGTTGATTAGACGTTTAAAAATAGAAAACGGTTAGGAAAAAGAACGCTCTATTAATTCTCACCTGCCCGCAAACAATGCTTATCTTCAGAAAATTAGGATCTCGTGCATCGTTCTTTTTCATTATCTGCTGCGTGTAATAACGGAATACAGCGGCAACTTGATAGATGTTCTTACTTTGCTTAATTAACTGAGAACATCCCGTGTAATTATTAACTCATTCTAACCGATATGTATTATCACGACGTACAAGGTATCCTTAAAATACTCACAGCCAACGTCTGACCCTTGCGTATTTTCACCACTTTTCTATACACGTCATAATTCCTAAACAACAGGGCAAGTGTTGCAATAGCCATGACCTGTGGGATAGCACAGAATTCAAATATGCTCTGGTTTCGTAGACTGTTCATGTACGTCAGATTCTGAGTCACATGTTGGAGGGTGTTTAATAACATAGCCGAAAGGCAATTAATTGCTTCCGTTTCATTCCCCGGATTCTTGAGTTCGTAGAGATTCGATGCATATTGTGACCAAATCGCTTTAGGCCAATAACACCTACCGTGGCTAATATCTTCAAGGTAATCACGGGTTATGTTTACTTTCTGAAGAAAGAGACCCATTGAATTTGCACTGATTATAATCGCAGAAAGCGTACGCGTGAGTGATTACAAATACTTTGTGTTTTGCAAACGGATGAAGATCGCTTGAGCAATAAACTTTCATGGTTATTGTCATTTAATGACAAATTCACAAGTTGCCAAGAAAAAGTTTTTGGCGGCAATGACTTACATTGCTTCGTCTCTGGTCGCGATTTCAGCTTCAAGACCACTTGCAATAAACAGGTTGGTGAGCCCGATGCCAACTAATCCAGCAACATAATGGCAATATTTATCAAAGTCCCCTAAGGATATTATTCCGTATGTATTAAGTGCTGCATCGGTTGCATAATCGGCCATTCCGTTTCCCACTTTCTTGCATATGTCTGTAATAACTTTTTGATATCTGGATGCGGGAATACAGTTTTGTCAACATCCCGTAACGACGCTAACAGTTGAAATAAACGACAAGCCTTACTTTTCATCTAACTTCAGAAACTCGTCAATCACAACATAAAACTCTACCAATAATTGACGATCTTTCTCTTGATCACCGCCTAAAAGAAAGCAGAACCAAATCAGAAATATTCAGCAAACACAGAAAAGTGCTACTGACCCATGTTAAGCCGTTTCGGCGAAACAAACATTTGCAATAACTTACTTTCTTCAAAGCGCCAACCTTCTACACGGATAATGTTATAAAAGTCTCTAAGTAATGGATCTTTCTTTTCTATAGAAAGGGTCATGTCATCCTCAATTGTATCAAGTCCTCGGAGAATGAGATAAAACAAGCAAACCTATTGAACGTGCGAGGGAATTTACTAATGGTTATTGAGTCTGATAGCGACTATAACGGTTTGTTTACACATGGTAAGAACAATCTTGTGGATAGAAAAGCACCTACTCAACTATATAAACAGAACATGTCTCTACTTACCACATCTCTCAGTTCATCATCCAGATTTTGAATGACGGCGGCAAACGACCGTGATGTCATATTAAGAAACTCGTAGCATCGCGTCTTAGTAGAACGATCACTTTTGATTTTCTTTTGGCTACTGGCACCTGAGATTAAGAACTGTACAAGCGCTACCAGTTCCGATGGATGAAGAAGAGAGTCAACAATGTATGACGCCATTGAAGTTCAAAAAAACCTTGGGGTTAGAAGTTAAATATCTGCCTGAAAATCTGTATGTGTATCCAAACACGGATATGATGTGCGTTCCAATAACGGTAAGGATAGACCCTTCATTAAAAAAACTTTGATTTAATTTGGTGAACTCTTGTAGCAAATACTGTGTGCGCTTTAGAAGCACATGCAAGCTTGGCAATCTCAGCGATATTGCAAGCGCTTATGGTTTCGCGGTCTCGTAAGCCCCTCGGTATAAATATTATCTTGAGAATGTTCATTCCATACTCAAGATATAAACATCTAACCGCCAGAACGACTTTAATAAAAAGGTTAGGGTATTGGTCGCCATGCTCAATTACCAATATCGACCTCATTTTGCGATAATATAACATCATTTTATGGTATTACAAGGAGTTTGTGATAGGTGGTTAAAAATGACTTCCCGAGTTATACGTTGGATCCAATCCGTTTATATTACGATAACACGATAATCCAAGTCGCTTGCTCAGAATACATATATCTGAACCAGTAGTTAGATATGACTTCCCGTACTATTTCTCATCAAATGAGTCTCTTTTTTTACAATTAATTACACCAGAGAATTAAGACTTATTTGTGTGAGCGTGTTGATTTTCGCGATGAGATACTAATAAATAGCGTATAGACGGAGGCGATCAAAGCAATTTTCAAAACAGTAGGCGTATGGGGTTGTCAGATTAATAACTACAGCGTTAAATGTAATAGAACACAACCCAAGCAGCGTGTGGTCCGCCAACTATGAATGGAGATGCGTTTTGACTGACCTCTCATGAGTATGGTGATAGTGTCTCAATACCGTATTTCAGTTTCCTATCTTTTTCATTTCGCAGAGTCAGCACAGTCCATGAAGCAAGAGTCCCTTATTGATATCTCGGAAGGTTTGTGTTGAATAACCTCGAAGTGGTAAATGTAATCCCGTTACCCAACTATTACAAGAACGTATCTAGCATGATACATAGTTTCGACGATACCAAGTTAGACATGATTTTCACAAAATCTGAGCAATTAACTGAAATTTGCTGCGCTAATTAACTCGAGGTGTCAACTTTTCTATCTCTGTCTAAATCACAATAGTCTGTGTTTGCATGTTTCATGCGCGTAGGCTCCATATAAGATTGCATGTTTTATGCGCATAATGATTGCATGTTTTATGCATGTTTTCGGTTCCGCCATTCATTGCAATATTTTGCTCATTTGAAAATCCAAATCGTAAACACATAATCTCTCCCCTCAATGCTAACACCACCTCCTCCTCCTCCTTGGTCTCAAGCTCAAAACAGAAAGAAGATCTTGAAAGACAGAAACAATACCTTCTCTCGCAGTTTCCAAACCACTGCCTTATTTCAGAAATCAGCTCCAGTATCAATTTCAAGAGATCCGGATTGCGTTCCCTACTGGAACGATCAAGTCGCGAACTGGTCAAAAGAGTCGCTATTGCCCACAGAGACAGGCTGTGTCGGTTCGCACAAAGATCGCGGTTCTCTCAGAAGATAACCCAACAGACGAATGGGAACTATCTCGGATATCCTCGCCATTAATACAGTCTTCATTTGCCGATTACAAGGAAAGCGTTCTGCCAGATAAATATTTTATTTTTTTCATATAAATATTTAACTTTAGCTTTATTTTTGTAATAAGTGATCAAGCAAATGAATTCTAATCGACTTGATCTATTCAGGTACAGATGAGGACGGAACAAGACAAAAAACAAAAAACGCGAGAAGAAAGTGCAAACAACACGACGGGCCAAAAGAATGAAGAAGGCAGACTTGACACGATCACTGAAAATACGAATGTATCTCAGAAGACCTTGCTTAGCGGAAGAAATTCACGTTGCAGCCATCGATCCCGGAGTTCGCATTTTTCTTACGTGGTATTCTCCCACAGTTCATGGAAACATCGGAGACAATGATATCAATCGTGTTTTTCGCTCATGCCTTGCCCTTGATGCCTTGATCTCACGCACCACCAGAGCATTAACAAAAAGCGTAACTCAATTAAGCGCGCTCAAGCACGCATGAGAAGACGTATTCAAAATTTAGTGGATGAAGTACATAAAAAACTGCATTGTGGTTGACTAAGACTTTTGACATATTGTGTTACCAAAATTTAATAGCATACAGACGAAAAAAAAAAAAAAAAATTTAATAGTAAAACAGTTCGAAAGATGATGGGCGCATGCTAGGTTAGGAATCGATTGTTATCTAAAGCGGAAGAATTTGCGTATCTGAAGCATATACGAGTAAAACATGCAGTCGTTGCGGATTTATTAGGAGGATTTTGGGTGGAAATAAAGTATTTGGGTGTGATGGGTGTGGACTTCAGATTAATAGAGATCCAAATGGCGCCCGGGGAATTTT